CCTATGCCTAAAAACATCAGGGTTTAAAATAATTTTAAAGAAAAATATTTCGTTGCACCTATGTAACTGGCGTGATATTACATCTATAAAATAAGAAATAAGAACGTTTATAAAAAGAAATAATACTAGATCTTTAATGAAATAAAAACCTTACAAGAATTCCGAAATAGACACTAGCCATTGTCGCGTTGGCGAGTCAACAAAACTTCTACAAAGCCCTGGAAATAAACGTTTAAGAACGGGTCTACAACAATTTTCCTCGGCGCTAATTTGAATTTGAATTTCATACAATTTGGTACAGTTGGAAATTATGAGTATTTATACAACGTTCATTTCAAGTAGCCTTTAAGTATAGCGTAACGACGTAAGTACCTGAATAGATTGGGGTCCCCAATATCGGTACATTCGGAACGGTTATACAGCCTTTGCCCCTTAATTTTTAGGCGACACGTGTACTTGTAATTACTAAGGCGTTCCACCTTCCACACGTTTCTAATTGTACGAGGAAATTAGTTATATAGAGCAATTATATGTACCGTATTGGAAATGTGTAATTATTTTCTAATTTACATTATTTATAAGTTAGGTTCCTAAGGAATGCCTCATGTACATAGGTACAGTAAGGTGTTTTTGTATTTTGCTCAACAATAGAATGAAGTATATAATTGATGTGTTGTACTGCTCTAGTACATGTTGTTGAAATGTAAATGGAAAATATTTTGCAGCTTATTGTAGTCTTGTAACTGACAGCAACAACAATGATTTGACTTTATATTATATCCACGTATAACAGTTTTTATTGTACCGTAATCATTAAAAAACAAGGTCGCTGAGTCTTTTGTTAGCGCTGCTCCCGGCTCCTGTGTTTAAGCCTTTCGTCGTACGAAAGTATCAAATGTCTCAATAAAACGGGCCCTAAAAGAGCATTATTTAAAGTTAGAGCGAAACAAGCACCGAGCACGTCGATCCAGACAAGTGGCTTTAAACAAAATGAACATCGTTTTTAATCATGGAGTTTAAAATTAGTTCTCTTTGAGGCACTGCGTGTTCTCGAGCTCGTTCAAAGGGAACGCCGAGGAAAAAATCTTTAACAATTACTTTTAACAAAAAAGAAGCGTAATAATATTAGTGAAGCCAAAATCGTACCTTTGAAGGAACAAAACCAGTCGCGGTTCTGTGCTACGAACAACAGAACACTTTATGGTTTCATGAATTTAATTTGTAGCTAATGCGGCTTTTGTCCGTGCTTATAAAGGGATTTTGGGCATAAAAATAATTTGCCAACTTCACCGTCCCACATTAATAATGTTGATAATTTGCAAATAGGACTTCGTGCGGCCATTGTTCTCACTTTGTTTAGGATATTGTACGGATGTAGCATACGTGCATATGTGACGCAATGTTTAACTCTCTCTCCGATGAATTTTGTTATAAATACTTTCATTGTTATTAATAAAACTCGTAGGTGTTACACTGGTTTAAATTAACAATGAACGTGTGTGAGATAAAATTCTAATATTATCATATGATCGTGTATGAATGAAAATTTTCCTCTTGATCATTGAATCAGCTAGACAACTGCTACCTACCTACGTGAATATCAAATAAAAACATTGACACTTTCATGGATCGGGAGTCAACGAGTATTATGTGCACATTACTCATAGACACTTCATACCATAGACTTAAGGCAGATGGGACGAGTATCAATACATAGTATAAAACAAAGTCGCTTTCGCTGTATGTCCGTATGTATGCTTAGATCTTTAAAACTACGCAACGGATTTTGATGCGGTTTTTTTTAATAGATAGAGTGATTCTTAAGGAAGGTTTGTATGTATATACATATTGCACCCGGGCGAAGCCGGGGCGGGTCGCTAGTAATATATATAATTCTTCAGTGAGTGTGTATGTCACTGAACTTCTCTCAAACGACTAGACCGATTTTGATCAATTTTGTTGTGTGTGTTCAAGGGGATCTGGGAATGGTTTAGATTCACAAATCAGCCCGGCAGATGGCGCTGCAGTCGCTGTTTATTTTATTTATCCTTAACAGCTGAACTAATTTGAATGAATTTTTATTTATACATTCAAGTGGATATGCAGGACAACGTCTGTTGGGTCCGCTAGTATACATATAAAACTGAATTTTCGCTAGCTATATTGCAAATCCCACGTAATAGAGAACGAGTTTTACTGCCACTAGTGTGATAACAAGTCCTGACTATAAACAGTTCTCCTAATCATCTCATTGCACAAACAAACACACGAGTAATAATTATAGGAATATGTTTCCGAGCTTCATTGTTAATTATCTAATTGAGAAGCAGTTCACTGAATATATTCAGTGAGTTCCCGACTCTCGGCAGTTGTGTGTACTGTCTATGTGTACAACCCTACTTATGTGATGCGCCGCTTAAAAGCGCCGTGTTAACTTTGCATTCCATTTGCTGCATAATCTGTTGCATAACTGAGTTTGATTCTTAGTTTCAAAATAAGCTGAAGCTTGTTAACGAAAATTGTTTTTGATAATGTATATTTTTGATTTTGTATATTTAAATAATAACGAACGTAGCTTTTAGCATTTTGCGTGTATTTTGGTTCGGTTTAGATCAATTCTCTCACTAGTTAAATGAAATTCAGGATCACGGTTGCAATAGGTTACCCCCTAAGGCCCTAACAAAATATTGACTTATAGTACAAATTTAAAGTCATAAACTCTAGGTATCTTTAGTCAAAGTAAATATCTTTTAATCCCGAAATTCAAAAAACTTATAAGCTTACTTATGTTAATAATCACATGACCTACATGTATGTTTTATTAAAAACAACCTAAAACGCCTAAAAATAAGACACAATATAGCCTGTTGTTACAGTTTAGTCCTTCATACAGTAGTGGTGTGCATATGACAGTCGCTAACGTGGAGTGCGCTCGGCGCGGAGCACCGCCTTTGTTTAAAGTTGAAAGAGGTGTCGGCTTTGACACGGCTTCCATAGATATTCATCGACACACTTTAATATCGTTGTTTAGTACTGACTTACTTTAGATACCTTGTTTAGTACAATCTAGATTTACGTGATAGATTACAGTACATTAACTAGCATGAAACTTGATATTCTTTATTTAATAACTTCTAAATTATAGTATTCTAGACACGTTTTGCTTGAATCCGTGATTTTGAACTCTAATTAGAGATGTATTGAGAAGTTTTAAATTGTTCGGTAGTAAAACTTATTATATCACCAGTGCATATTATTATGACATGGCTACCTCGTTGGCCGAGTGCAACTGCGGCAAAGGGTATCCGGTTCGATTCCCGGGTCGGGCAAAGTATTACTGGGTATTTAGATAAATCTTAGAAGTAGCACGGAGTCTGGAAATGGGCCTGGTATATGGCAATAGGCTCACCCCCAATTACGTGAAACTCATAATATAAATACCTAGTGAAAAGTGGGTGTTACATTGTACAGTAGCATTATGTGCCGTAATGTGATTTTATGTTTATGTGTGTGTGTGTCTATGTTATTATCAGCCACAAGACGTACAGTGCTGAGCATTAGATCACCCTAAATGACTTTCAGATCAACCGATTGGAAGCAATCTGCATACAGCGGCTCCCGCGACACCAACTCAGCTTATTCATCTAATACAAAAAAAAATATTAAACATTTAAAACTTAAAAAACACTACAAATTCTTGTTTACAAAAACGAAATAGTGTGCTAAAACGACTTCGAAAGTCTCATAGATGTTTTGTCCGCAGACGATGACGCAGCGATGTCGTCGTGCCGCTGCTGAAGTACTGGCGAGTGTCCTTTGCCAGCTACGTGTTGGAGAAGTATTCTAAGATCTTAGATACGATAGATAAAATATCATACTTATTTGTATTGCAATTGCTATTAGTTACCCTTTATGACCGACCCTTAGACAGGGTTATGAATTTTACGATAACATTCGGACAGGACTACGTTATTCAGAAAGTGATCTAAGACAAAGAGTTTACTTTTCAGTCTTCTTCTGATCAGTAATGTTCTATACGCTGGTCAGCCAAATTATTATTCAATTTTATAATAAATCCTTAACAACAAAATCAGCAGTGGGGACTTAAAACTCTCTATCTTTAGCTATCCCTTCGGAGAATATAATATGAATCGTGTTGTAGTATTAAGTTGTAACAACAATATTCCACCCCTCTAAATATACATATTCTGTTTTGATAATATTGTTCACCTCTATGTAAATCCAGGAATAGCACCCCAACAACACATGTTTTGTTTTCATTTCATTCCATACATATCTTATTCTAAGTAAAACGTGGTTTTCGCAGAATATCGCTGGCAGCTCCCGTTAAACCTTCCGGCTGAATTTTTTCACTTATACTTGCCAATATCCTGTACTATAGCGTTACGTTCATTTTGTTTTATTTTACACTGTATACATTTATTGGACCTTGGATTTATCGAAATTCTCAGTATTTAGTATTTGGTTATAAGTTTGTCTAATTTCTATTGAAGCTAGACTTGCCTTATTATGAAAATTGAATGTACTATACTCTTGAAGCATACCTAATTACCAAATTGTTTTTTATTATAAACGTTTAACACAAAACAATTTTTAAAGCCTCTCTAAAAACAGTCCTCATCAGTCAGTACTAACTAACTCGTGTCCATTTGTTCAAATATTTTATTTGTCACGTTCATTTTGTTCATATGCGGGGAAAAAACATAGATTGCATTGTTCTACACTGGACACGGTTCAATTAATTCAAACCGGTTACACTGCTATGTTAACAGGTACGGATAACCGCACTGTAGGTCGCCATATGTATTTCTATAGAATGTAGGTACTAGCTTTTGCCCCTGGCTCCTCGTACGCATAAAATAATTAGGGATGGATTTTCGGATTGAATTTCTGAGTGGTTAAGGCATGTTGATTTGATTTTCGAATGTATTTAAAATGAGAATTGCAGAACGAAACGTTTTTTTAAATAAAACATAATGAAGGTTGCTATTTTCATTTATTTATTTAATAAATCACAACAACATGTTTTTTAAAACAATAGATCGATGGTGATATTAATTGACGCTATATCTATAAGTATGGATAGAGATGTATGTGGCCACAATGTTTTACTATTTTGCAGGCAATTACAGGCTTGAAATTTTCAAAAATGTACCCATTACTTTCAATCTAATAGAATTCATTTTTCGATCTACAGGTTACAACTAAGTCGTCTCTGGTCGATTTTTTTATGATTTTTAGTTTCTTACGCTAAACATGTCAATGTCCTCCAAATCTTCTTCATGAAACTAAAAGTGTCAATTTGTATGCATAATATTATTTTTTCCTAATTAAATAATGGTAGGAAATAAAATTCATAAATGTACATTGCAGAAGACTTGTATACATGACACACTGACTTGTACACATACCTTTTTAATTAGATATATTTTAATTAGATATTTATATGATAAACATTGTGTGAAATTATAGAGACTTTCTTCCTTACGAGTTCAACTCTCAAGAAGTCGGTTTACCAATATTATCCTAATAAAATTACATTTTATCACTTTTATTACAATCTCATATTAAAAATCGATCAGTGAGTAGTAGATAGCAAAACTTTTGTAATAAGAGTTGCTCAACTATTACCTAAGTATGTACAATCAAATTTTGAGTGTGTACTATTGGCAAATGTGACGCTTGACTCGATATCATTGTTTCATGCGGTGTACTTTCAATATCTTACTTACTTATTGTTAGGTATTAGTTTTCATGTCTTTATTGCAGAAAATTTAAATATAAATATTGCATTGTCTTCAACATTTTTTTCGCGATCCTATTAGTGTTGCCAAGAAATACTGACTGAGACATTTACACACTTAATACAAATTATTATCGCTAACTCAGTCACCATTACCTTTACCGATAGTACATGAAATTCTTGTGTAGGGAATTACGGATTTTCATTACAAGTCAATAATATCTACTGAAATATGTCTGTGATTGTTCAAAAAGATTACGTAGTCAATCCTAATTTGTTGAACACGAAACTCTATATCAAATAACCTCATTAGTATTTACAATATTATATTTGGCACGAGGGTCTAACGTATCACAAATTTATTTGGAAATGTGAAGGCGAATAGGTACCTATAGTTAGGTAAAAGATGGGACAAATAATTTGAAACGTTTCTTTAGGATGAAAGCAAAAAGTGCTTATTGTAGTGTCTTATTTCTTACAATTATTATGATTGCGTGTACGTTGTATAAGAAGAGTCGAGGCGTTGTCTCATAGGTTTCAATTTTGAGCTTTACTATTTATAATTTAGTGTTTCAAAACAGTAAATGGCAGGATAACATTACTCTAAGTGGCACTTATACACTAGATAGTGTACTTAATAGTCTAACCGCCCTTAGCTCCATAAATCAAAAAGGAGTTTGAAATACGTGAAATTACAAAACGTACTTATTTGTTCCCAACAGGTCAACGCTAGTTTCAGTTAAATTCTCTGGGTATATATTCATAAATTACTCTCTTAATATTATTGTACTTATTAGAGAAAATTTTGAATACACCTAGGGTTGTTTTAATTTGCGTCTAGACTAGAAGGTATGTGAATAATGTAGTGAAGAGTAAGTTCGTGTATAAAGGAGGTGCGCTGTTCTCTTTGGCGGGGAGGAAGGAGCTCGGGGCGGCCGGGGCCGACACGGCGTGGTTGTGGACGCGGGCCTCCTCGTCCGCGCCGCTGCCTTCACCCTCGTCCTCGTCGTCGTCAGAAGGCGCCGTCGGCTCTTGCTTCAAAGGCTCGGCTCTCGGCTTCTCCACGTCTCTCAATGTAGTCTGAGTGTTTATTGTCCCGGGGACCGTCACCATTGTCGTCGTTTGCGACAAATTTCTCGAAATAATCGTTGTCGTTTCACTTAATTCAGTTGTTATAGCTTTGTAGAGATTGTTGTCCGAGACGTTGGCAAACTTGGATGTTTGAAAGAAGATTAGCGTCATATCTACGGTACTGTTCGCAGCAGGCAGCGTAAAATTAAGGAGTTCATGTCGCAATTCCGGAGAAAATGGCGTGTTACAAAGCTGGGTGTGACATACACATATGAATTCAAATGAATTATTTACGTGATTCCTTATTGAACAAGGAGTCTTTGTGGTAGCAGCACACGCCAGCGATGAAACGAAATCTGTGGAGAATATTAAAAACAATTTAATATTCTATCCGATTATATCTTAAATGTTCAATCTAAAAATATAGATCTAAAACAGGCGTCTGCTAAAAAGAAATATGATAATTTCCATCCAATTTCGCTCACCGCTTATTCAACTCACAATAACATTACCATTCCTCGCTGAAAGAGCAATTTTTCTTTGACAGAGCAATAACATACTAGAGTGTAATGAAATTACGCCTGTACGCGCCTCATGGGTTTATTTTATCATCTGCATTCTCTGCAAGCTTCGTTCAGAGTGTTTAAGCATTAGTACAAATGGCTTTCCAGATTAGAATGAAGTGAGCTATTTTCTTCGCACAATCAATTAGAATTGAAGTCGAATGTTAATAAAAACTTTACTTAAAAATTAAAGACGCTTTGTTAAAACAGCTCAATTTATTCAACACATAAATATTTAAAACACACTGAGTATATTTGACTGGAGTACTTACTAGGAGCAATAGCGACAGTGGCACACAGCGGTCTATCGTCGGGGCAGGCGACAGATGGCCAATTGCCATCACATGTGGTCCCGTTCCCGAGAGCACACGCGTGGCACCGACTCGGACGTATATCTGGAAAAAAGGGGTCATTAGTAATGTATGTCACAGAGAGCGCAACATTTGCAAATGTCAAACACAACCATCGTTATACCCCATTTATAAAGTGACGGGTTCCGACAGCTGACAGATGCCAGTCGAAGATTGAATTTGCAACTGCTAACTCGGTCAAAGGTGAAACTGAACTGAGTTTGGTGATTGGGTTAGCTTTGCGGTCTCCGACTTGGTAGCCTATTTAACTATGAACTGTGAATCTGAGACTGACTTGAATAAATTTCGTGGAATGATCACATCATCTGACGTCATAAACTAGCTGTTTGTTTATAACTAACAGTAACTGCATGGACAGTTATGATTTCTCTGGATATCTTTAATCCTTGTACAGTAATTTTTGTAATTGGCACCAGTATTTATTAAAATTAGTGTATTAGGTTTTACTTTTTGGAGGTATGGTCGAACACAAGGCATTATTGTTCCAAACTCACCTATAGCACCTACTACTACTGCTTCAGATTGTTATAACTCTCAAGCAATCACAACATACTTAAAACTATTTTATTTATTTATTTATTTATATATACTTTATTGCACACATAGAAAAATTGTAAACATTTCAATAGTAATTTGAGTACAATGGGCGGTCTTATCACACGCGGCGATTTCTTCCAGACAACCTTTCGATGGAATTTTTGAAAAGAATCTGGGAATGGGTGGTAGATGCACAATAAAAGAAAAGAATAGAAGAAAAACAATAAAAAACAAATTAAACAATCAATGAAACTTACAGACTTATTATAATACATAAAAGATAAAAATGGCAATACTATGTAATAAATATATACTTAAATGTAAAATGATAACTATATATAGTTACGTGTATAAAAACTATTTTATATTTGAAATTCAGCTTAATAATTAAAACGTCAGCAGTTTAGAAAGGTAAACAAAGAAACTAAGGTAGTACGTTTGTGTAATCAAAGCAATTATCATTTGCTACACCGAGTCCCCGTATACACAATTAGCATTGGACCGGGAATCGAGTCTGAATACGTAAATACGAGGAAATTCTTAGTAAAACTGTCCTGTGTGTATTTACAGTTTAAATGTAGATATGTATGATATGATAGGTATCTTTTTGTTTCCCTGTGTGGTAAGGTAATGTGCACTTTAAATACATGTAATGGTACTGTTACACGTGATAATTTTAAGCACGAAAGCATGCTTCATGCATTGAGCACTTGTTACTTAGTAGCATGAGTGTCGGAATGTTGTCTTGTCTAAAAATTTTATTAACAAGCTCATTTCGGGCATGTTTGCGGATCGCAATAGGCTTTCGATTTTTGAGCATGCTCAATAGAACGCTTTTTAGCGTGCTATTTTAGAGCATATGTAACAGTACCTTAACATCATTTTTTTTTCAATATAAGCATCTATGTAGTAGGAGATTAGTCTAATGCTACATTTGCCACGTCAGGCACAATGCTTGACTTCATAATTGCAACACTACACAATATTATTACTGACAATATCGAGAATCGAATACACCAAAAAAATATTGCCCAACCGACGCTCGAATTGAACCCGAAACCCCTATTCGATGAAGTACTCGAGGCAATTACAGTGTAAATGTTATTACAAACAAGAGATATCTTGGTACGAGGCGAAGTGTGCATATCGAACAAATTCGATTAGCCTTTATCGAGAACCTGGCTGCTTGCCAGAAACAATAAAAAACATGCAAGCCTTTGCTAACACAGGTGACATACAAAATAATAAATAAAATCCTACTTCGTTAGTCTGGGTTAGATATTAGGAAGAGTAAAATTATGGTTGAATTTCAATTTATTCTGAGTGTTAGTATTTTATTGTTGTATTTTAATAAATGAGCGTGGTAAAGTCTACGAATAGGAGAATCATAATAATATGTTTTTATGACAATGTTTTCAAATTATCCCTGTGGCCACTCCTAGAATAAGTGAAACTTTTAAGGACATATAAAATTTTATTCTAAAATTCTTGAATGTAACGTAATGATCACCACCCTCAAAAACATTGCACCAAACAAACCTACACATCCTATAAAAATATAGCACGTAAGATTTAGAAGGGCACACAAATTGAATTCGTAAGTAATTGGTGAGAGGCAGTCGAGTCATAAGTCAGGCGAAGTCGAAAGTTCGACTTGACATACCGCCATAACAACAAACTAGTGAGGGTCTGTGCGGTGTGAACACAACCCTTCCTAACTTTGATCACGACTTGCTACACCCTCTATTCTAGTAGATACAGGGTGAACAAATGTAGTATAACTATTGTGTGAATTTGTATAGTTATGTTGATAACGGATTTTATTGTATTGACCCAAGTTTAACTCGTCGAGTACCGTCATTATAGATTATAGATCAATAGGTTGCGGTCACCGGTGACCGCTTGGTGTTTGACAGTTTAACTGTGTTATCTACACCTAATTTGAAAAGATTTTTTATTTATTATTGTTTTAGATAGTGTCATTTTGTTGTAGCAAAGTCTGGTTGTCCAAAGTTGTTTTTATTTCATTTTATTTTATTTTATTTTACAATTTTAGGAAAACTTACAGCTAGGTATAACATAAGGATAGATTAAATTATAGATAAACGGCCAATAACAAGTTTCCGCTTATAGGTAATTAAATTACTAGTTTAAAAAGACAGCATATGACGAAACAAAAAAAAAACTGTTTAGAAAAACAAAAAGAAATAAGATATTATGTTTGAAAGAAACTTGAAGACATTAATTTCTTTAATCTCTTTAATCTATTTAGTTTTTGAGTAAAGTATGCGTGTTAGCAGAAAAAAATATATAACCTTCCGCTGTAGATTTAATTATCTCTCAAATAAACATTATTTAGCTACATTTAAAATACAACGATCGACGAACAACATTTTTATTCTTAGACACTAACTTAAAATTTTTAAAAGGTTAAATGCTGGGTCACATTTGTTTCACGATCATTATAGAATGCCCTTTATTTAAAATGTCACCCTGTATGTCGAACGATGCTGTAAATATACGCTCCGCGCCGCCATGACCCGACCTCTGTTTGTGGGAACCGTTATAAGTATGTTTCAGTTTTCTCGAAAACTTTTTGAGTCTCTATCACTTCACTTGCTCGTAAAAAAGCATATAAAACAACATATGTACATAAAGGTAGGTTGGTGAAAAAAATATAGTTACGGTACAAATTAATATTTGCAATTCGTGCTTGTTGTAGTTTGCAGTTAGAAACGGATTTTTCATTGGCAAAGATACAATATTGAAATACTATGGAATACGCAGTTACATTTGCTACCAATGATTAATAATGGAATGGTTATGTTGACAGATCAGACCAACTTCTCATTTAAATTCAACTGAATCATACAAAACCTCTAACTACTCCAATAACTCTATTTTAGTAAAAAAAAAACAAAATAACAGTGATTCTTAATGATATTCCTACCTTAAAAACTTAAATTAATGTATGTATCTACCTACTCCTAGACTAAGAAATGTTTCTCCAATTTCTTAAAAACTTTAATTCCTAGAGGACGTCAAGATCCTTTATTACAGTAAAGGAAAGCTTTTTAAATCACTTCACTTTAAACTGCCAATAACTAAAGCTAAATCGTTTGACAACGATGTTGTTACAACATTATTAAGTTTCACCGTTATACTGCAAAAAATATAACTTCATTTTATACAAAGTAAAACTAAAAAATCGACCACAAACTGTTCCATCGAACACTTTGTTCGTGATAACAATGTAAAATTACTTGTGAGGAACTTTGTTTCTAAGAAAATGTTTGTAAGGCGAATAGCTGATATTATGTACCATAACATATTGTTATATAATATGCAAGTAATATTATAGGTATTAATCCAATACTGAGGGAGTTTATTAACAGACTCCGGCCACTATGCTATTACTTGGAATCAAATTATAAAATATTTAAGTAACTACGTAGGTTTGATATATAGGCTTCGTTTAATCACTACATAGTATAAAACAAAGTCGCTTTCTCTGTCCCTATGTCCCTTTTTATGCTTAAATCTTTGAAACTACGCAACGGATTTTGATGCGGTTTTTTCAATAGATAGAGTGATCAAGAGGAAGGTTCATATGTATACATGCATATTGCACCCGTGCGAAGTAGGGTGGGTCGCTAGTTTAAAATATACTAACCAGATTCAATAACAAGTTAATTTGAAATACATGTTGTCTTTTTTCATTAAGTCTTCCGCTTTTCATAGAAAACATACATCTTTGAAATAAAAAAAAGCTACAATTTTTAGAGGGCAAGCGAAAATTCCGTGGCTTGGGGCGAACTAAAATTGAACAGAGCTTAACAAGGCGCCCGAGGCGTCGATCAGCGTTTTATCGTCGCCTTTATATCTCCAGTTATTATTTCATTAAATGGCCTATTCTACTGACAGTTAACCAGTTTACGACCGCATGGTCAGGCTGCTTTTAAAGACGTTTATGACATGTTTAGTTATAATAAACGGGTCGTTCGGCGTCGCATTCTTTGTGCAGACATATTGTGGTGACGACTGCGCTCGTAACCATTGTTAGTACATACATAAGTTATATACTAAGAGCAAAAAGATCAGTTATATATGTAAATGATCTTGTTGCTTAGTTACTCTTGTATCGTTTAACTTTATTAGAATTTTGTTTTTTATTTTTAAGAATTATACTGGTTTTCTAAATCTATATGTTTTACAAAACTTAGGTACATTTGTACATAATTCTCACCTACAGAGGTAAAGCGAATGTCCTAGACCAGAGATCACAATCAGTACAATCGATTTAAAACAACGCATAAAACATTAAAGATAAACACAAAAAATCCGCGTACCTTAACAGTATCCAATAACATTGTACTAACAATGACAACTTTAAAAAAGAAAAGAAAAGATTTAAAACAATGAAAGGAGAGAATTTAATTTTATTAAAAGCAGTTTTGAAATATGAAGAGCTGTGAACATTGGAAACT